TAAGGAATGTCCCTTCCCTAGCAACGCAACACACAAACAGCTAGACAGACAAAAGTCCTTCAGGACTTGCTATCTTAGTCCCTAAAGGTGAAAAAAAAAAATGCTATACAAAGGTTAACTCTTTTTAAGCCAGACATAGTGCCATAAAACTGTAATCCCAAGCTCTGGGAGGCTGAGGCAGGGGGATCACAAGTTTGAGTTCAGTCTGAGCAACTTAGTGACTTAGCAAGACCTCATCTCCACTAGGAGTGGAGCTCATCATAAAGACCCTAGATTCAATTCTAGTACTGGAGAAAAAAAACCCAAAAAGACTAACCACCTGGCTGGTGTGTGGCAGGCTCAGAAAGGAGGGAATGAATAGAACAGAAATGCAGGAAGAGCCGTCAAGAAGCAGTTCAGGCCCCTCTGAGAGACAGAGGGGCCTGAGGGTCTCTCTGCAAAAACCCACTCCACAGAGACAACACCCACTGTGGTGACTTATGGGAACGCATGGCCAGGAACACACAGATGCTACCTGAGGACCCAGGGGACCGGGGTTTTCCAGATTCTGTCCCTGTCCCTGTGGGTCTTGTCCCTGTCTCCCTCCCTCTCAGAGCCTTAGTTTTGTTTTCTGCAGAATAATCAGGTTGCACTAGGCTGTCAGAGGGGCTTTCCCGCTCGGTTTGCATGAAATGAGCTGTACAAATGCCACAGGACCTCAGAGGCTGTGATCTCAAAGGTTGCCAAGTTGCACCAGGTGCTGGGTGGGGTGGCAGGGGGTGGGGTGTCCAGGCCGGTCAGTTGGTTCCTGGCACGTCCTGCCCAAGAACAAGAATGGTAAATACAAGACTTCCTCTTCACAGGAGATAGGCAGGTTGTGAGAAATCCAAAGGCACAGAGGAGGTAAACGGCTCCTTATTCAGTTTCCCAGGAGGGTTTGCCTCTCCTCAAGATTCAAAAGGAGACAGAGAAAAGGAAACTTCTGCTGAGGGGGGAGCGCTAATCCAGCCTTTCACAGGCTCTGGAGACAGACAATGGCTTCCAGCTTGCACAGGGACAGTGGGCCCTGCCAGCCTGTGTCCGCCATTGGACAAGAATGCGGAATGGGCCCTAATCCCGAAAGAGGAGCTGCTCACAATGGCCACAGCCTGGTCACCCGGGCAACAGGCCAGGGATGGCGTGCCCTCCACCCTGCTCCTCCCCTGAAGCTGCCTCAGTAAAAGAAGGAGGCCCCGGCTCTCTCTTGGGCCTTCCAGGAGCCAGGCAAGGAGGACAATGGCAGGCGGGAGGGACGGTCACCATGGAGCCTCCTGGAGTAGCGAGAGGTGGAGAGGCCCAGCTGCAGCTGCAGGGGATGGGGCTGCCCCTCCTGTGCCGACTTCCCCACTCTCTCCACTCAGTTAGGCAGGATGTCTGAGGGCCTAGAATGGGGCAGGTGGTGGGGGTATGGGGTACAGGAGCTGAATCCTCTAAAAGTAGAGGTGTCTCTCTTTTGTGGATTCCACGCAGAACATCATTCTCACACACCCCTCTCCTCTCCCAGAAAGGGGAAATTTTATGGACTAGTTCTTTTTTTCTGTTTCTTTCCAAAATAAGAAAATAGGTAAAATTCTGAGAGTGCTTCAGAAACAAAGATCTATTAAAAGTATAATAATAATATAAAAGTCTTATAGAAGCAAAAACACTAGACAGTTAAAGATATTTGAGTTTCAGATACACACGAATGCAAAGACGAGGCACATCTTGTTTTTGTGCCCATGTAAACAGAAAGATCACCAGCTTAAGGTTAGAGCTCTAAAGACAGCTGACCTAAAGAAGGTCCCCAAACTGTAGGTTTTTGGGGTGCTGGACAGAGTCTTTATGTGGCCAGAAAATGCAGAAAGTAGAACCTTGACAGCCTTCTATGTTAGGTCTCAGGAGGTCACTGCTTGACTGGGGCATCCCAGGAAGAACTCAGGTTGTGTCATTACCTTCCCACTGGTTCTCCTGCAGGTGACAGAAGAGTGCAGTGGTGGTGGTAGTTGGGTTGGATCACAGCTCCCTAATCTCTCCCAGCCCCACAGGACAGGCCTCTAGTTATCTCCTGGCTAGCCTGTTAAAGTAAATTAGATATAGCACCAGCTCAGGCCTACACAGAGATCAGTACACAAAAAGCACTCACCATTTGTTTACTGGTAAATAAATCCCAAATAAATATTTATTGGCTAAATCATGACTCTGCTGATCTTTGACTGATAAGACCAGTGCCTAAATAACATTTCTCCCCTTCTTCCTAGCCTTAGGTGGAGTCCATCTGAGTGCCAAGAACTAATTTTTAGAGACCTTTGTTCTCATCAACTATGTTCAAGAATAAAAATCAGCTGACTAAAGTCAAGTTGGAGGGTAACAACTGCCCAGAGGTAGAAAGGCCACATACACAGAGACAGTCTGGGTTTTCCTGGTGTAATTATTATGATTGCCTCTTTGGTTTTGCAAACTGCTTGAGTTCAGACAATATATTATTTGGTCATCACCCTCAGTCAGAGGAAGGAAACCCAAGCCCAATGCTGACAACACGGACACGAACACACGCCCAGCGAGTGCTCTCAAGAACCCATGTATCAAATACTTGCCTTTATCCACCTGTGCAATTCTAGGCAGGTTAGATGACTTGGTTAACTTGTCTGGCTAGTTTCAATATCCTCATCTGAAAAATGAAAGGACACTGATTCTCCAAACATGCAGTAGGCTGCCGAATGCCTATTATGTGCCTGGTATTGTGCTAGGTGTTGGGGATCCACACGAAAACTGGAGAGCCCTGTGTCAAGGCTCCCTGTCTGAGGGGGAGACTGTAATTACAGCAACTGCAGTCGGGTGTGATACTGTGCCAGCTGAGGTACCCTTCCTGCCGACAGGCTGCAGGAGCACTGCAGGGCTTGCTTTGCCTGGAGGAGCAAGGGAAACCAACCCTGGGAGAAAGCACTTTTAGATCTTGAAGAATGCCTGAGGTCTGCTAACCAAGGATGGTGTGTTAGGGAGGGGCAGCAAGGGCACCACTGGGAAAGAGCAGGGCCACCACAGCAGGATGGCTCGCTGTGCTCCCTTCTGTGCTCCAGTATTCTCCATGGAGCATCTTCTGCTTTTGTGCCCACGAGGTGCTGGCCAAGAGTCACAGCAAGACCTTTGTTATACGGTCACATTAAGCTGTCTGAACATAATTCTTGAAGATCCTGTCCCAGTGAGCATCTTGCCCTTACAGCAAGGCAGCAGGGCTAATTCTCCATTCCATTTTGCACATAGTAAACAGACTTTCCCAAGATTCCCAGCCCATTAACACAGATTCAGAAAGGGATGCTGCCTAGAGAAACTTCCATCCCAGAAGACAAAAGTTCCTTGGAGGTGCCCAGCCCGTCTTCCATCCCCCAGAGAAGGGACTGCCCTGTATCTTGCACTGCGCCAGGCTTTGCAGCCATCCTATTTAGAGATACACAAATACGTGCTCTCCTTTGCCAACACGCTAGAAAGCAGTGCTCAGGCTCAGCTGGTAAATGTTGCCTCCTTCCCAGGAACGCAGATCAGAAAAATTTACCTTCGGGAGAGGATGGTGGGAAGTTCTTAGGATAAACAAGAAAAGGTCCAGGGATGCTGACTCCAGGTGTTGAGGAGAAGGGTGCAGCTAGGCATCTCTGATCATAGCTATCGCAGGGAGTTAGAGCCAAGGTCCCTGACTGCTCCCTGGCCTTTCACGGAGCAGCTGCTGTCTGGGAGCAGGCAAGGAGCTAGAGGATGACCAAATTAGATAGTGGAGGCAAGGTTGGGCTACATTGGCCTGGGCTGAGCAGAGAGGAAATGAGCATGGGGGCGGCTCACCAGCCCACCAAAAAAGGGAGCCCAGCAGGGAGCAGGAGTGAACTCTGAAGGGAGACTCAACCACTTGCCCCAAAGCCCCAAACTATGCCACCCTCAAGCCCACTCTGCCAGGTACCTGGGCAAGGAGCTCCCCTGCCCTGCCCTGTTGTGTGGTTTGGCTGGAGCCCAAGGACAAGAGTTGCCTGCAGCCTCCCTCGCTGCTGCTGAGCCCACAGGTGCAGGAGGAGCTGCCTAGGCAGAAGTCACTCACTGAAGCTGGGGCCCTCTGAGAGACTGGGGCTTTGAACGAAACAGACCAAAGTGGCTCATCTCAAGGAAGGCTGCACATGACCCACACGCTTTCTGGGGGCAGCACAGTGCTAAGACAGATGAGTGCCCAGGAAGGGGAAGGCAGGGCTTGGTCAAAGCCAGCTTGGCTGGGATAATAACATTATATGTGTTAGATACACTACATTTATAAACATTTTATATTTATTATCTTATTGAGTCCTTGGAGAATCCCATGAGGCAGAAATTATTATAATCCCCTTATTACGGATGAAAAAACCAAGGTCAAACAGCTGGTAACAATTTGAACCCTTACAGTGTCAACTCTGAGCTAGGCACCGTCCCTGTTGTGGTTTAAAAACCAGGAATGTAGCGCAGTTTCCCCCACCCAAGGTCCCTCAACAGAGCCACAAGGGGCGGGGGGGGGGTGTTAAGGCTGGTTCCCAGTGACTCTCCCCACCCTTGTCATTCCTTGGGGTTCCAGGAAAGGCAGTGGGAGCTGGCTGCTGGATTGGCACAGCACACTGAGGCAAGTCCAGGCTCATCAAGGCCAAGTTCCAGACCAAGACTCAGCACTCGGTCATCCAGGGCTTGGGGTGGACACATCTGGGGCCTATGTTTCAGGTTGCCGATAACCAGCCAAGAAAGGATAAGTCACTTCCCTTCTCTGATCCCCAGTTTCCCACCTGTCATTGAAGGAGTAAAAGTATCTCAGTCATTTTCAAATATTTTGGAATCTCACTGAGAGATCCAAGATATAAAGATACAGAGGTAGGTCCAGTTCAGAGAATTACACATTTGAACTCCCTTCATTCCCTACATTGGCACCCCCTTGGCAGAGTGGCTTTCATGTACCTGGCTCCCAAGGCTTTGGTGGCCCCCACCATTCCAGAAAGCCCAGCATGTGTTTTTCTCTTTAGAGGAAAAGGGTGGTCAGGGGAGCTGGGAGAACCACAGGAGGAAATGTCATTTGGATACCAGGAATGTGTTCAAGATCCAGAGCAAATATTTGTTTTTTCTCTGATGCCCTCTTGGAGCCGCCATTAGTCCCACCCACCTGTCTCTCCCTCCCCACAATCCTATCTGGCTCCTGGTAATTCCATCTGGGCAGGTTGGGAGCGGGACGTATGCAAGAGAGGTGGAGAGAAATTTGGGATGAAAATCCCTCAACAGGCTTTCCTTCTCATCTAGCCGTCATCAATAATTCCCATTCATTCAAGACAGCTGCTATGGCCCTCTCCCCAGTGCACCACACTGAGACATCACCTCTTGCTCTCTCTTCAAAGGGGACAGTCAAGAAGCAGACTTAGTGGGTGAGGAAGACTGCAAAGCTCCAGGATGGAGAAATCATCAGCACAGCAGAAAGCTGCTCTCCAAGAAAGAGGGGGGACCCTGAGCAAATTCCCAGCAGCAATACTGGGTGGTCTATGGTGCAGGGAGGTTCAGAGCAGGTCCCAGCCCACTGATCTTATCTCTCTACACACAGCAAGAGGCAAAGGCCAAGGAGTTTCTTCTGAATTTTTTGTTCTGATGTAATAAGAGCTGGAATCCCTGCCTAGAGCCATTAAAAGCTGATTTATCTCTGAAATCAAATGAGACCTTCCCCCCACATCCCCAGCCCCCACAGTGACCCCAGTCAAAAGCTTCATGGAATCTCTGAACTTCTGTCTTAGTTTCTGGGCCACCCAGGCCCCACCAACCAGTATTCCACAGAGCAGGAGCAAGGGGCACAAGCCACGAGCAACTATTTTCTCGCTCAAGCCCTGACAAAACCCAGGCCCAGCAGTCTCAAGCCTGGAGCCTCTTTGAACCCTCACTCTATAGAAAGAGAAAGAAAAGGAAAGCCCGGAAGTACATGATTGCCCAAGAGCTATAACCTGGCACCAGGCTGCTGGGGACTGAGCTACCCCTTAGCAGAAGAAACAGACTTGGTGCTACTGATGGGCCCTAGCACCTACTCTTCCTTCACCAATGAAATGACTTCTTGAATTTCAAACCAGCTAGTGGCTGCAAAAGCAAACACAACCCAAGGAGGGGAATGCTGCCATAGCCAGTAGAGCAAACTATGGTTACACTCACAAGCACAAGCAGCACACACACACACACACACACACACACACACACACACTTCTCACAACAAGCACCCAACTGAATCTGGCAAAACATAATCCCTAAACCACCTGTTGTCTAAAAGGCTTGTTAAAATATGAATTATAGGCTTCCAAAAGAAATTCCACTGACTGTAGAACCAGAGGATATTTTAAACAAGCACCCTCCCCCCATTCTCATGTACACTAAAGCTGAAGTTTGAGAAACACTAGCTAACTTCTGGCCAATCCACCATCCTTTCAGATAAAAGTATCAATTTTCACTGCAAGTTAGGCTCATTAGAAACACTTCAAATTCACTTTTGTATCTTACTCAATCTTCCTAGCGGCTTGTGAAGCAGACTGTTTTTCTACTGCCCCCCCCCAACCCCCAGGGGAAACTGAGAATTCAAAGATGCAGGAAATTGCCCAAGGTCACAGATTACCATGACAACACACACACACACACACACACACACCCCAAGTCAACAGGCCAAGTTCCTCAAAAGGCCCTAAATCCAAAAGTGTTTTAAGGGACAGTGCACCTGGCACAAGAGCCTGCTTTTACATCTCCCTGAATCGAAAACCCAGCATAATGAAATTGTGATTCAGTTTTAAGGCTGGGTAAGACCTAAAGGTCAGACCCACTCCTGTGCAGCACTCCACTGTGTGAGACCGCCAGACTGTAAATGCTGAAAATCCCCGTATCTTGTTCATCCTACCACACACCTATTTATCAAGCCCATGTTAAGATCCGATGCCTTCTACTTTCTCTTTCCATTCTACTCTACTGAACAGTCAATAGTCCAAACGAAGTTCAACTTAACCACACCTTTTCTAAGATGTGTTGCCGGAGGTTCTCAGTGCTGCTGCCCCTATAATCTTGGACAGACACCTCCACAGGGAATTCCCGCCGGGTCCCCGCGCCACGCCGCCTCGCAGTGGTGCAGAGGCACGCTGCGGCCACGGAGCGGTGCGCACCCCGCCCATGCCCCGCGCCGTGCCGAGCCTACGCCGCGGGTCTCACCAGACGTCCCGAGCTCTCTCGCGCCTTCTTCACCTTCCCGTAGGTGCCCTTGCCCAGGGTCTCCAGAAACTCGTAGCGGTGCCGCAGGTTGTGCTTGTGATGATGTCGCTTCACCGCCTGCTTCTTCATCAGGGGCTTGGGCGACTTGATGAGCCCCTCGCCCATTGGCCGGGCGAGCTCGGCGGTCAGGGCGGTGGCGGTCGAAGGAGCCGGGCCCGGGCGACGCGAGAAGGCCAAGGACTCCATGGCGAGCAGAAGGTGAGCGCGGGCTGAGGGCAATCGATAGGCTGCGTGGAGAGGCTACAGCGCGAGGCACATGTCCCGGACTTGGACCTAGATCGGGAAGTTACAACCGGGAAGTCACAGTCGCTACGGAGCGAGTTGCAAAGCGCCGCAGTCCAAGTTGTTATAAACGCTCAGAGCTGGAGGCCCAAGCCACGCCCCCGACGCCCATTGGCCCGCTCGCCGGCGGCGCGTGACCAGGACCTCTGCATTGGCTCGCTGAGGTCCCAGACCCGCTCCTCCTTCCTAAAGCAGGGACTGGGAAAGGGGTCCGGAGCCCCGCCCACCTGGGTCTCGGGGACCGGAACAGGGACTACAGGGCTGCTGAGGGTGTTGGTACTACTAAAGTCTGACTTTGAGGGCCCCCAGAACTGCTCTAATTTCTGAATAGCACTTGGTCCTGATTACAGCCACCAGCTCTATTGCGCTGTGTTCTTGAGTGACAACGCGCGGTCTTAGGATGCTAGAAGTCACCATCATTTGCTTCTTTCTCCCAAGCCAAAATCTAGGAAGTCACTTGACAATTTTTATGTCTACAAAGGAGCAGAGAGTGGAACGGGAGGGCTCGTGGGCAGTTTGTGTGAGTTCACTTCTCTACAGTGATATCAACATTGACTGGATCCTGGAATCCTGGACCAGGAGGTCCTTACTCTTCATGAAAGAAGGCTTGTAGGACACAGGTGTGGTGGGACTTATGGAGTGTTCTTTCATTAATTTAAAAAAAAATATATATATTACACTTCTTTCTAGTAAATAGCTGCTCTCCCCAAGGTTTTCTTCTCCATGATTTTAGAGCCAGGAGGTCTTGTGACATCATGCAGTTTGGCTTGGAATCCCCTTTTAGAGTGAAACAACATCCATAGGCTTTGCTACTCTTTTTTTTTTTTTTTTTTTTTTTTTTTTTCCTACTCTTCTGATGGGGGTGGGGGGAAGGAACATGTCTGCACCCTTCTAGAATTGATAAACCAAATCTATGTAGTGACTATTGTTCTGCCTAAGGCTGCACAACTAGTGAGGTTCAAACCCTGGTCTGTGGAGAGGACAATGAAGACAGTAGGCTTTCGAGAATAGATTTCTAGAATTTCTAGAATTTTTAGAATAGCTTTCTAGAATTGATAACTCAGATCTCTGTAGTGACTATTGTTCTGCCTGAGGCTGCACAACTGGTGAGCTTTAAACCCTGGTCTGTGGAGAGGACAATAAAGACAATAGACCTTGATCCCCTTCCCTGAGGGAAACCCTACCCCCTAAAGCAGACAGGGCCTTGACTGGGCTCCAGCTGTACCCACATCTCATTCCATTCCCCCAGGAGGATGATTCTCCACCGGTGTATTTAGGGGATGCTGAGAATCTGGAAAGACTAGATCCCCAGGTGGCAAATTTTATATTTAGTGTTAGCCCACTTATCTACTTCTACTGATCCTTTGACCCTTCCTACTGTGATTCATAGATGTCTCCATCCTTTCATGGAGCCCTTTGGCCTTTGTGACTGAGACGATCAGGATCCCCTTACACAGGACACTAATCTCCCCTCCCCCAAATCTGGGGAGCCATAGAAGATGGTAGCTGGTTTGGCTTCTCCTCTTTTGCCCAGATTATCTGTGAAAACAGAAAGAATTCTGTTATGCTGCTGTTTCCTTCCCCTCCTGGTGTCTGTAACCATTCGAAGGTGCCTATCTGGACTGATTAGGAATCTTAAAAAGAAGCTTGGATGAACTGAGGTGCTGGGATACCTCAGTTCTTTCCTGACTCTGACACAAATGAACTGTGTCAGGGCTCTTTACCGGGTTCTTACTCTACAAACACTGATGCCCACTGGGTGCTGGGCCAAGGGAGACAATAATGACAAGATGGATATGTTTTTTTTTTTCTTTTGGTGGATATGGTTTTTACCTTCAGATAATTTTCAGTCTCGTGAGAAACAATGCTATACTGAAGGAGAAATGTCCTTGATGGGGAAAGAACATAATGCTCTTGGGGTGCATAATAGGAGGGAGCCCCATCCCAAATGGGTGAGTAATAATGAGGCAGTGCTTCCTGTAGACAGGGCTTCGAAAGCTGAGATCCAAAATTCATGGGGTGTCAGCCAGCTGGATCAATATTTCCTTGTAAGAAAGACAAAGAATTATACAGATAAGCCCAAGACCACCTTTTAGGATGATCAGCTGAATGTTTCTAAGACCCCATGAACTGGTAGGTGTGTAAAAGCTGCTCAATAGATGCTATAGGCTAAAAGCATAGATATGCAATGGAATCTGAAGACTAAATTGAAAGGGCCTACATATGACTGATCTCCCTCTTTACTAGCTAAAGTGATAGCAGCAAAGGGGTGCATTACCTGGATGCTCTTGGACATTCCCCACTCCCGACCATGGCTTCCTTGACTACAATCAGGATGGATGACCAAAGACCCTAGAAAAAAGAGTCTCCCGCTTCCAGCTAAAGTGCAGCCTGGCAACTCACAGGGGGTGAATGACATGTCTCAGTGACATGTCTTGGCTATTGACTGTTCCCAGCAGGCAGCAAGGAAGGCAAACAAGCAGACACAGAGCCAGAATAATGCGCACCTGAGAAATGATCCTGACTGCTGGTAGCCAACTCTCACATTCCTTATAGGGACATCTAGTTGGTAGCAGAGTGAAATGCCTGACAGAGACTTGGCTGTCAGCAGATCTTGGGGAATTCCTGTCTTATGTACAGATGTGTGCCTGGGCTTGGATGTCCAGACTGAGCCGAGCCTCCCTTTCTCCTGTCTGCCTCAGTCTCCAGGCCTGGGAGGGAAAAGCTTCCACTCACCCCCATGCCCTGCCAGTGATTAATGTTTCAAAGGCTGCTCTTGGGGACAACCATTTATTGTATCTATTATGCACATTGGGAGACAACCAGCCTCACAATCTATGTTGCAGTGTGTTTGTGTTGGTGGAGGGCTTGCAAGCAGCTTAGCATGACAATCCTGTGACGTGTCCTGTGGTGCATGGCATGAGCAGGGTCATAGCTGGGGGGAAGCCAGGCCACGTTTTGGGTGAGGTGGGGATTTGAGCAAATAAACAAGTCCCCAACACCTCTGGGATGAGACCTGAGAGGTGATTAAGAATAAGTTCCCTGTTCTCAGAAGTTTACAGTGTAATAAAGGAAATACAATAAGTATTAATTTCCCGTAGATCCAAGGCAGAAAGTGGGAGGGCTCTTAAGAGAATACAAAGTAGTACATGAGTTGAAAGAACCGGTCTTGTTTGGGCTTGGGAGCTTCATGGAAACCCTACAGGAATCCAATTGAACCTTGAAGGGTAGGTGAAATTGAGAGTGGCTTTGACAATGAAATAGGGAGGTAGGGATGAGGGGAAGAGAGAAGGGATGGCCAAGAGCATGCTGTGTCTGATGGCCTGGAGTGATGGTGACAAAACCACAGCATGTGTACAACAGGGAGCGTGCCCAGCCCTTTCTTGACACTCAATCCAAGTCGCTTCAGCATTGCCCAAGCATTCAGGTTTCATTGCAACGCTGGCACTTTGCAATAAATAAGTGGGCTGGCTGGGGAGATAGCCCAATAGAATCACCTGCCTGGCAAGCACAGCACCCTGAGTTCAATCTCTAGTACTGAAAAGAAAAATTAAATAGAAATAAATAAATAAATAAATAGGTGGACTCTGGGTTGCAGTTTGGGCACCTGGGTTGCAGGTTTGCCCTCACTGCTCTTGTATCTCCTTCCTTGGAATTAGTTTAGTTTAGTGCCTGAGCCCCTGTGCCTCTTTCCTGTGGAAAAAGAGAACGTGGGATGACTCGGCTCACCCTCTACGTCCAGTGGAGATCTGACAGTGGAGACCTCAACCGTCAAATTGCCTTTCCCCAGAACTCAGGATGAAATACAGCCCGGCCCACACCTTGTGGACAGGGCAACCTGGAAGATAATGACCTTCCCCATTCCTGGGCGGGGAGAGCCTGGATAGGAGCCTGCTTGTTAAGACTAGTTTTCCTAGAGGAGGTGTAAGTCTAGAGAAGGGTGTAAATCAGAGTAGTCTTCACCAAGTTGCGATGCCTGGCTCAAAGCTGCCCTCTATTGACTGAACTGCGCCTAGCAAGATCCGTGAGTCCCCATCCTGTGTCTGTACATTGAAGTCTGGCTTTCGTTTGCTCTCTCATTTAACAAATACATACTGAAAAATCACAATAATAGGCATAATGGTCTAACACTTACTGATCCTGCCTGGTTCTAGGCATCTTGAATACAGTGTCACAAACAAGAACACCCAGCTAGAAGTAGCAGAGCGGGGAGGTAAACCCTGTCAGTGTGATGTCACAACTGGGAGCCTAATGATTGCCTTGCCTTGTGGTACCTAGAAGAGTTCTTGAAGTACAAGATGGAATTAATGAGCTTTGGACAGTCTAAATTCCAGTAATCTTTACCAGGAGTTTGGAGAATTTTTTGCTGAAGGATTTAAGACATTTTTCAGGATCTCAATTAATGTTATTTACAGGCAAAGCCCAGAAAAATGTCTATGAGGGAGAAGACAAGCCAGAAAGCTTACTATTTCTCTGGAATGGAGAGCTAAGGAACAGAGAGAAAGGAACCACATGTCCTAAGAGCCAGCCCCACTTTTCACTTCAACCCACAAAGTGGCCATGGCCAAAGACTTTCTCTATTGAGAGTGGTTCCCTATTGCCAAAGAGGGATTTACTTAAATAAATCAACTCTGAGACTTGCTTCAAATCTGTTGTAATCCCACTGCACTAAGCATGGGTGCATTAGAAACCTCAGTTGCTCCTCTCGTTTTGTCTACCTGGAACTTGATTCCCTTCTCATGAGGCTTTCAGGAGCCTTGTTCCCTGACTCACTCACAAGCTGGCATGATGTTTTGGTGCCAGAGTCTGGCAACCTGGGCTCCAGGCTCTTCTGCCAGCGATTGACTGTGTGTGCATCTCATTTCCTGCAGCTCTATGAAAAAGAATGATGATGCAGCTGAGAA